CCCCATAGGCAATGCTGGAGAGCAGAGGACTGCAAAGCCAGACGTAGCAAGAGGAACCCTGTGGGTGAAATGAGAGCTCTGGAAACGATCTGGTCCCCGTTGACCAGAGGTTTCCAAACGAGGGGTCAGGAAAAGGGGCTCACTTCCACTTCTAAGCGCACGACGTGTGAAATCACCACGCAATACAGTCCCACCATGTGGATCAACCAATCCGCACAATGGGGCCATGTACCTTTGCAAACCCAGCTTTGGGAAAGCATCTGAAAGCTTTTTTACAAGGAGGGATTAAATAAAATACCAAGGTCTAGAGAGACTAACTTATGAGATTTCACGTGCTGTTTTGGGTCGCTTAGGCCATACTTCAGAACACAGCCCCAGACGAGATACCCTAGGCGACCCAAAAACGAAGGCAGTGGTCTTGTGAGAAGGAGTCACGCGATTGTGGTACTTTAAAGCTGTTCTGTATTTTATTTAATCCCATTTTCAGAAGCAGGGTGAGGGATAGAACGGGAGAGGCAGAGAGGCTGTGGGTTCAGTGAGATGCCCTCACCTGCCGTGCCCCGTGACCATCTATTGCCACAAACCACCCCGCATTGTGCCGCAGGCAAAGGGAGCAGGCACATGGACAGAGGTGCCCACCGATGACTGGGGTTAGGGAGCCAAGTCCCTGCCAAGCACCACCTTTGCATGCAGAAGGGCCCAGGCGCAATTGCGGGCATCTCCAGGGAAAGACTCCCGGATAGTGGACCCCAGGGGAAGGCCTTCCTCTGCCAGAGTAGCTGCGAGACAGAGACGACGAGACTGACCTCGAGAGACCTAGGAGGTCTCCGTCTAGGCGGTGCCAAATGGCAAACCTCCCACCCCATACCCCCTCACCTCCTGGATGACTTTTTGGCACGGATGTGTCTGCCCATTTTCTACAATGGGGTTGGTATGCCTGAGGAAAGACGAGAGGGAGAGATGGGGTCAAAAAGCCATTTGCATCAGGCCTGGCGTGGAAGAAGGGAATGGGTGCAGCCGTGAGCGTCAGATGCCCACCTTCACGTGGCCCCTGTGTCCGCCTGGTGTTCCGACTCCACACTGACCAGGGAGGAGAGCAGAGCCACTGTTCCTAGGGCCAGAGAGCGGCCCAGAGAACTGTTTGGCCAGGGTTCGGCAGACGCACACCTCTCCAACTCCAAATGAACTGTTTGGCCAGGGTTCGGCAGACGCACGCCTCTCCTTCAACCCCAAACTATACCTATCATCACCCCAAAGGCCATACTTAAGAACACAGCCCCAGGTCACACACTCAGACGATGAGAAACCAAGGGACAAGCCAAGATGTGGACTGGCTACATCTGAACCAGGGTACGTTTTATCTCTCCCCAAGCGACAAAAATTCACTGTCTGTCGTTCCAGGGACAGGGGTGGTGGTGGGGGGAGAAGGACAAAGCCTGAGAAGGACGTGCAAGGTCAAGAGATGGGGCAAGACTCAGGGAACCCAGCCATCTCCGGTTAAAAAGGACCAGGCAGGAGGTGACGGGAAAGACCTCCACCTGAGACCCTGGAGAGCTGTAAAGAGGGGCCGTGGCTCAGTGGTAGAGCATCTGCTTGGCATGCAGAAGGTCCCCAGTTCAATCCCCGGCATCTCCAGTTAAAAGGACCAGGCCGGAGGTGATTTGAGGGTCCTTGGCCTGAGAACCTGGAGAGTGGCTGCCAGTCTGAGTAGACGGTACTGACTTTGATGGACCGAGGGTCTGGTTCAGTTGAAGGGAGCTTCCTGTGCTCATCAAAGACCCCAGGAGGAATCAGCTAAGCAAAGAGGAGAGGGTGCCCAGGGTTCAACCAACACCAGCGTCAGAAGGGCAAAAACCACTGCAAACATTCCGATTCTATACTGGCTTAACCACCAGGGCTCCCACCACAGAATCCTAGGGAGTGGAAAACCCCTGTTAAAGAATCCTCCGTTTCCTCCCGCATCCGCCTGTGCGTGCGGAACTGAGAGCGGGAAGCCAAGGGAGACGAGGCAGGCATGCCTAGGACATTAATCCAACATACAACAAGTACCGTGCACAGATGATTATAACGTATCATAAATAATTATATATTTTTTGAAAAATATTTTTACAATAATTTCTACATATATAATTAATTATCTTAATCACAATTCACAATATAAGAGATATCAAAACGTGCTTTTCACTTTGGAGGAGGCTTGTAGCTCATCAAAAAAAATGTTTTGCAGCGTTCATTGAAAGAGAATTTTGGATTAAAACTTTGGTTATGTGGCAACCTTGTGCTGAAAATTGTCGTTGAACTCCCTGAGGGAGATTCTGAAACAGAAGGATATCTGGACCTCTGTTGGAGGAAGACAGAGCATATGTTATAAAGAGACTTTAAGGAGTCCTCCCTTTTGGAAACTTTTATTTAACAGAGGAGGACTATTATTAATTATATGGTTGTACAATAGCTTTTGAGATTCTTGGAGATGATATTTGATATTTTTGATATCTCTTTTATTGTGAATTGTGATTAAGATGATTAATTATATATGTAAAAACTACTGTAAAATATTTTTCAAAAAAATATACAGTTATTTATGATATGTTATAATCATCTGTGCACGGTACTTGTTGTATGTTGGTTTTCCTACTTATCGTGGGTCCTTGTTTGGTTTTGTGAATTGCTGTATTAGGACATTAATCCAACAGCCACGTTGGTGCGATTCCCCCACACACACACCACCACCACCACAGGTTTCCACTGTTCCCTCTGATCCTGGAGTTTCAGGTTCTGGACAAACGTATTGAAGCAGTCCACCAGCCCTGCAAGCCCATCAGGATTCTCACCGAGCGAGACCGAGTAGCTCCTTACCTAAATATAACAGCAAGGCGATCGAGGGGCACAGTGGGGTCTGAGGAGAGGCCGTTGCTCGGCTCCTGAGAGAGCAGCTGGGGAAAGAGAAGGGAGACAGAGGGTAGAGAAGGGCCCGAGGAAACCCGACACCAGGCAGCCAGGAGTCGGGCTTCTCAACATTCGGCTTGGCCTCGGACTCTTTGGGCTGGTCATCACTTAAGGTGGAACTACGGAGGACGCGGGGCTGCTGCTGAAAACGGGGCCCTGAGCCACAAGCTTCACTCATCCTACAGGACGTTATGCTCAACCCACCCCGAGTCCTGTGGAATCATATTTTTATTTTGTAGAGTATGTATTTCATAGGACTATTTCATGCAATATGTATTTATACCCTGTTTCGTAATCTAAACACAACCTGAGGTCACATTTCATCTATATAACCGACCAGGGGCCATTTCCTGCCGGAGCGCGCCGGAGCAGAGCTCCGACAGTAAGGAGCCCAGGGGGCGGGCACATGCAACAAGCCCCGCCCCCTGCTCCCAGCAGCCCTCAGTCGCGTCACGAGGAGCAAGAAGAAGCAGCCAGGTAAGTTGCAGAGCCCCCCCCCCCCCCCCCCCCTCAGCGAAGACCTCTCCACTCCTCTGCGAGGACAGATCTGCACGTTCTCTCCCCTCCCCCCAATAGCTAGCAATCCAAAACAGCCCAGTGGAGCCTGAGCGGTGGGTGTTGCCTTCTGACACACTTCCGGTGATGTCAGGGGGTGTGGCCTATGCAAATGAGCTATGCTAATGAGTTGTGCTAATGAGCCCCTGCACCTCTTTTTCTACCAAATGACCCCTGTAACCGACAAATTAGACTTAATACAAATCCAGATTGTATCCTCTTCTTTTTCTTATTCCCGTATCCGACCCGCCTATATTCATCCCGAGTTCTGACCCCACACCCAGGTGTGCTCCCCTGCCCAGCTCCCACCAGAAGAGGCAGGCGAGTGGAGGTGGGGGAAGGCGCCACTGTAATGATTATGCTCAGCTGAGCTTCACGCTACACAGAGGATTCAAACGGGAGCTTCCATTTTCAGTGGCGGCTTGGAATTCTCGGGCACATCGAAGTTCTGCCCTTAGCGGACAATAAAGGCGCTCTTGGTGTTCACAGAAGTCAAAACACGGGCTCCTGTCCCCAATACTGGGGGTTGTTCTTTGAGTCTTCTCATCATCATTTATATCCTAAATTTCCCTCCAGGGAAATGCTCCCTCCCTAGGTTAAGAAAGCCAGAGTCACACTAAGTTACCAGCATACCTTTTTCAGCGCCATCACCTGAACGGCACAAAGTTCACTGAGACACGCCGAGATCTTCTCCAGGGGAAGCCTAGCCAGCACCAACGCCGTTCCTGCATGCCGAGACACACAAAAATCACAGGGGGGGGGGAAACACCTTTCAGGAGGCCCATTACGGCTGACGACACTCCACCCTAACCAACGGCAGCCCTCCACGGTCTCAGGCCTGGGGTTTTTCCCAGCTCTGCTATCTGAGATCCAGGGACTGAAGCGAGAGACACCCCAAGCGGTGTCCCCAGCCAACCCGGGCTGACCTGCCTGACCGTTACGGTCATCTCCAAAGGACTTGTTTCCCCGGGGGGAGATTCGCCCGTCCCTTTCTGTTCCTGTCTTCGCTTGGCACTCCCCCAATGGTCCCTCCTTCCTAACCAATGTGATTTTTTTGGGGTGGTGGTGGTATGCATTTTAACTGTTTTGTATGTATCTTCGTTCTGTTTTTGAACTCTTTCTAAAATGGTTTTTGTGACATGCCTGGGAGACGGGTTGATTTTAATGGTTTGTATGCAAACCATTAAATCTTCCGGGTATGTTGTGGGTATGTAGGGCTGTCTTTCGGCTATGCTCCTGCAGAGTGCAGGGGGCTGGACCCTCCTTCAAATATCAAAGTGAGCCCAGAACCCCCCGCAGTTCCCTTTATGCCACCCCCTTACCCTTACCCAGCTTGATGTAGTGGTTAAGTGCGCGGACTCTAATCTGGGAGAACCGGGTTTGATTCCTCACTCCTCCACTCACAGCTGCTAGATGACCTTGGGCAAGCCGTAGCTCTGTCAGAGCTGTTCTCTCAAGGGCAGTTTCTGTCAAGAGCTCTCCCAGCCTCACCTGCCTCACAGGGTGTCTGTTGTGGGGAGGGGGCGGGAAAAGAAGTTTGTCAGCCACTCTGTGACTCCTTCGGGTAGTGAAGGGTGGGGTAGAAATCCAATCTCTTCTTCTCTTCTTCTTCTTCTAATTTATACAGCTACCTTCCTTAAGGAACTCCATCTCAAGCAACTCAGAGCTACGCTTTAAGAGTGGATGACAGCCCCTTACTCTCCCCTAATGAGTGGTTTTCAATATAGTATCCCAGAAGGCTGGACGGCCAACTTTCGGGTATGTTGTAGGGCTGTCTTTCGGCTCTGCTCCTGCAGAGGGCAGGGGGCTGGACTAGATGACCTGCAAGACCCCTTCCAACGCTAACTTTCTAGGATTCATAATGTCATTTTCTTCCTTTTTGCCCTAACCTGGCTCATCCAGGATAGCCAGATCTCATCAGATCTCAGAAGCTAAGCAGGGTCGGCCCTGGCTCGTCCTTGGATGGGAGACCACCAAGGAAGTCCAGGGTAGGAAATGGCAAAACCACGCGGAGGGTAGGAAATGGCAAAACCACCTCTGCTAGTCTCTTGCTTAGGGAACACCACAGAATCAGGCGTGACCTGATGGCACTCACACACACACACACACACAAAGTGAGTTTATCAGGTATGCTTTAAATTGTCAGCCTCCCCGGCACCCCTTATAAGGGCAGAAAGGCCCTTATGTAAAGAATACCAATAATGGTCGATCCTGGACCATAGCTGACTGGCTCTCCAAGCAGCCAGCAGCTCCCTGGTGTCCAGGCCAAAGAAGGTCCACAGAAGAAGAAGAGGAAGAAGAAGAGATTGGATGTATACCCCACCCTTCACTCGGGAGTCTCAGAGCGGCTTACAAACTCCTTTCCTTTCCCCTCCCCACAACAGACACCCATGTTCCCTCTAAGCTGTGGAGACTTGTGGCTGCAGTCACCGTCAATGTTCCCTCTAAGCTGTGGAGTCTTGTGAACAAGAATTCTACTTTGTGAGCACCTAGCATTAAAGTTGTGAGCGAGCGATTTGGGTATTGCATGAATGAGTTTGCTCTGGAGCCCCATCCTTCCTGAGCTGAGACAAAAATGTGTGAGCTGGAGGCTAAAAAACTGTGAGCTAGCTCACACTGGCTCAGCTTAGAGGGAACACTGCCTGTGAGGTAGGCGGGGCTGAGAGAGCTCTCTGGAGGACTGCCCTTTCAAGGACAGCTCTCTGACAGAACTACGGCTTGCCCAAGGTCATCCAGCGGCTGCAAGTGGAGGAGTGGGGAATCAAACCCGGTTCTCCCAGATTAGAGTCTGCGCACTTAACCACTGTACCAAACTGGCTCTCAACTGGAGACGTCGTCCTCCCGCGCAGCCGGCTTTCCGCCTTCTGCCGTCCCGTGGCAGCCTGCTTAAAACTGCGTCAGCAGGACACGTGATCACTCTGAACGCGAACTCACAGAGCCTCTTATGTCTCTGAGAGGGAAGGAAGGATGGGTGCAGAGTGCCACACAATCCTCCAGGATGGTGCTCCCCAGCCCACCCTGGTGGGACGCTCCAACCCCGACACTGCCTACCAGCCTCTCCCCTGTAAGCCGAGAGCGCCTCCTAGAGTGCCACGCGTGGCCATGTTCATGTACTGTGGGGGGCGGGGGACCTGTCTCCATGTCCCCACAGGGCTCGTCCGGCAGGCATCGGCAAAGGGAAGTTGTCTCTCAACACTCACCCGGAAGGACTTCTGCCTAGCAGAGGCTTTTCCGTCTGATCCCACTGAAGGAACAAAACGGCCCAGTAAAGGTCTGGCTACCAGCTGCGGCCTCCCTTCCGGAGGATCGAGGCTTGAATGTGGGGAGGCTGCCTCTGCCGAGTCCCGCCCTTTGGCCTCTCAAGGGGGATTACTGTTCCCCTACGCTCAAGCACGTAACTGTGTGGGCTAATGCCGCCATGGGGTTGCTGTGTTCCCCCTGCTGGAATGCGCTTCAGGTTTCCCGTTATCTCTGCTGTGGCCTTGGAGACTTGCTCGGCCGCACCGCTGGAGCTTCAGGCCATTTTCCTGAGCGCACTTGCTTGCTTTCGCTTATTGGCTCATACCTATCAGGGGGGACCTGTATGAACTGAGTAGAACTGTTTGGGTTCCCGCCTAACACCCCCCCCATTCCTGACGCAGACAGTGTCGAATGATGACCTGAGCACCTTCCTGAACCTTAATAAAGGAACGCTGTTGAGTCTGAGCACGCCCTCTGCCTGGCATGTGATTCCCACTACAGGAACAAAAGGGCTCTCCAAAGGTCCGGCGGCGGACAGGGCTGCCTGTTCTGGGTGCGGAAACATCTGCGCAACTGGGCGTGGGGCCTGGGGAGGGCGGGGCTCGGAGAAGGGGCGGGACCTCAGCAGGATGAAAGGCCACAGAGTCCACCCTCCCAAGCAGCCGTTTTCTCCGGGGGGGGGGGGGGAACTGTCATTTGGAGATCAGCTGTCATTCCGGGAGACCTCCAGACCCCACCTGGAGGATCGAGTAACGACTTATACACTGCAAGAAACTATTGTAAATGGACGTGTTCTGTTTATAACTTATCGTTCCGTTTAACAATAACATTCGGTTTGTTCAGTTTAACAACTACCAGATATTGTTAAACTGAATGGACTGAATATATGTACCTGACAAGGATGTTATAATAGCACGCTATGCACTTTATAGAATGATAGTTATAAATAGAGATGTGAAGGCGTGGGGGAAAAAACCGGAAAAATTCGGGAATGATAGTTATAAATAAGAGATGTGAAGGCCTGGAAAAAACCCGGGAAAAAACCCGTCCCGACTCCCATCCCCCCCAGTTTTTTCCTGAAGCCTTTTTTGTTTTTTTCCGAAAAACTGGAAAAATTGAAAAAAGAAAAGGGGGGGAAATTGATTATGGAACATTTTATTTTAACATGACGAATAAAATATTTTGAGACAAGGGGTTCAAATATTTTCCAAATCATTTCTAAAAAATACGTATGGTCTCAGATTGATCTGATTTCTGAGGACACGGAGGACAAGCAAGTCCTAGGTTACCAACTGCACTCTCCAATGCAAGAAGATGCATTTCTTCCTTTAGGAGGTGCTGTTGTCACAAGAAAAGAAAAAGGTTTCAGTTTTGTTTTTGCATGTGGGTAGGTATTCTGTTTGTAAGAATTGTTTGGATGCACTATATTTTTAATATGCTAGTTGTGATAATTTCATGCCAAGTGAAAATGTCCATAGTCATATTTTATGTTCCTAAAGTAACAGAATGACTTTCGATCTGGAGAAGAAAAAAGAAGTGCTAATGTAGCATTTTCCCACCATTTTTCCGAAAATTTCCATTTCCCCTCCAAAAAAACCAGGGGGAAAAATGGAGTTTTTTTCCAAGCTTCAAAATTTCCGGAAATTTTACATCTCTAGTTATAAACAGAACACGTTAATTTACAATAGTTTCTTGCAGTGTGTATTTATCCGTTACTTGTAGAAGAAGAAGAGACTGGATTTAATCCCCCGCCCTTCACTTGGGAGTCTCAGAGCGGCTGACAAACTCCTTTCCCTTCCCCTCCCCACAACAGACACCCTGTGAGGTGGGTGGGGCTGAGAGAGCTCTGACACAAACTGCTCTTTTTCAAGGACAGCTGTGCCAGAGCTTGTGACTGACCCAAGGTCCCAGCAGCAGGTGCCAGTGGAGGAGTGGGGAATCAAACCCGGTTCTCCCAGAGTAGAGTCCGCACACTTAACCACGACACCAAACTGGCTCTCCTGAACACTGCCGCTCGGGTTGCTACACCCACCTGGAGGAGGGCAACACCAGCTGTGTCCTGCCTTCCGCAGCAGAAAGGCTTGAAGGTGGGGGTGCTGCCTCTACCGAGTCACACCCTTCGGTCTACCCAGGCCGGTCCCGTCTCCTCTGGCTGGCAGAGGGGCTCCCCGGGGTCTCAGGCAGAGGTCCCCCTGGTCACCTCCTGCCCAAGTTTTACTTAACAGAAGACGCTGGGGATCGTAGCTGGGCCCTTCCGCATGCCAGGCGGTCGCTGTGCTGTTGAGCCGTAAAACCCCAACCCTGAGTGTCTTAAAGATCCCGGCCCCACCGGTGGACCTCCTGACGGCCCCTGGTGTTTTTGGCCACTGTGTGACAGAGTGTTGGAGTGGATGGGCCATTGGCCTGATCCAACATTGGCTTCTCTTATGTTCTTATATTCTTATCAGAAGGTACCACAGCTGGGCTATTATCAGGTGCTAGACGGAGCACATCACATGACTCCCATCCTGCAGATCTTTCACTGACTGCACTGGTTACATATGGGCTGCGGTGGCTCAAGGGGTTAAGACGCTGAACTGCAGACTGGAAGGTCGGTAGTTCAGCAGTTTGAGACCCGAGTGCCGCATGACGGAGTGAGCTCCCGTCTCTGGCCCCAGCTCCTGCCAACCTAGCAGTTTGAAAGCAAGAAATTCCAAGTAAATAGGTACCGCTTCGGTGGGAAGGCAGCAGCGTTCCGTGCACCCTGGCATCCAGCCATGCCAGCCACGTGACCACGGAAACGTCTCTGGACAGTGCTGGCTCTTCGGCTTGGAAACGGAGATGAGCACCGCATCCCTAGAGTCGGATTCGACTGGCTTTCGAGCAAGGGAAACCTTTACCTTTTACCTAATAGGGTTACACTGCACAGAATAGTAAAAAGCCCAGTAGCACCTTTAAGACTAACAAACTTTATTGTAGCGTAGGCGTTCAAGAAACGCCGCTCTCTTTGTCAGATGCATGGAGGGAATGAAGAAACTGGCCAGAGATATACAGGCGGTAAGGGGAGAGGGGGCGAGAGGATACAGAAAGGGCCAGGTAAGTGCAAAGCAGTTGCAAAAGTCATGAAAAGGGTAGAATGCGCAATCCAGGCTGGGAGAAACCCCTTCCTGCTATTGATGAATCTGAATGGAATACCTGAGTTCCTTCTGGTCATGAGATTCCCCGTTCAAAGCCCTGCACAGAATGGTTTTACAGACCTGCTTGGGTAAATGATTAGGGACTGTGGCCCTGCATCGCTGTGCATCGCTTACTGTAAGTAGGGCCCTATTTGTGTCATTTCTGTACCGCTTCACGTCTCGTGTCTGAACACTCATGGCTCTGCTTCGGTTCTGTCTGGGGGTTCCAGACTTCTATGATCCTAATGCGTTTGGTTAACTGAACGTCCCATTATTTTTGTGACTGCACTGACTCGCTCTGCGTAATCTGCCTGGCGTCCCTGGGAGAAAGGCGACTACAGAAACATAAATAAATAAATTGGTGGGGCAGGCTCTGTAGTCCACGGAATGACACCAGAAACTTTCTAACCAATTTTGCAGGGCAAAAGCCCATACTCTTCTAACGCTCTACGTTTTAATTGGTTTTTAAATTGTGCTGAATTTTATGTTGTTGTAGACCGCCCTGAGCCCCTGAGCGTAAGCGGGGAAGGGCGGTTAAGAAATCTAAATAAATAAATAAAGGGCGCGTACCTTTAAGGAGCCCGACGGCTGCCTCCGGCGACAGCATGAAGGAGTCCAGGGACCGGGCGATTTCCAGCAGGCCGCTGAAGTGCTGGGCCATGTGGTCCCGGCACACGGAGCAGATGTTGTGGATGGCTTTGGCGGCGACCGAGGCCAGCTGCTTCTCACAGAGGCCCTTCATCAAAAAGCCCAGCACCGGATCTTTTTTTGGGGGGGGAGGAACCAGGAAGGAAGCGGTTAACTGGGGGGGAATCACTTTCTTCCTTGCGTCGACTGTTAGGAGAAAAGGGGCTTTAGGAGGAATCACGCCTCGCCAAGCCAAAGAATCATAGAATCACACAGAGTTGGAAGGGGCCACACAGGCCATCTAGTCCAGCCCATGCGCGATGCAGGATCAGCCTAGAGCAGGGGTGTCAAACATGCGGCCCGGGGGCCGGATCAGGCCCCCGGAGGGCGTCTATCAGGCCCGCCGTGGAACTGGCTGTCTTCTGCTTCTTCTTCCAGTTCTGCTGCTGCTGCGTCATCGTAGGTTTGCAGCTTACGCATACACACCTGAACAGCATACTCAAGACTGCAACCGCACGGACATTTTGGTGCAATAATTCAGAGCAAGAGGTGTCAGTTATCAGACACAGTTAAATGAACAAAATATTGCAAGAGTGCTAATGTTTCAGGCATGTTTTTATTTTAAGTAAAAAGAAACCCTTTGTGTTTGCGTCCTTTATAAAGTTTATATCTCCGGTACCTGGCATTACATTTTAGGCCACACGTGGCCCGGCCCAACGAGGCCTCATGTATGTCAGATCTGGCCCTCGTAACAAATGAGTCCGACACCCCTGATCCCTGACAAGGGTTTGTCCAGCCGCTGCTTCAGGACGCCCAGGGAGGAGGGGGAGCTCACCAGTGTTCCCTCTAAGCTGAGTCAGTGTGAGCTAGCTCGCAGTTTTCTAGCCTCCAGCTCACACATTTTTGTCTCGGCTCAGGAAGGGACGGCTCCAGAGCGAAGTGATTTATGCAGCAGCCAGATCACCTGCTCACAACTTTAATGCCCAGTAGCTCACAAAGCACAACTTTTGCTCTCAGGACTCCACAGTTTAGAGGGAGCGTTGGAGCTCACCGTCTAAGAATATCACTAAAGTGTTTTAACAAACTACCATTTAAAAATTAACCTGGGAAAAAGCCCACCAGATTCCCTAAGCCCTTCCCGCCCTTCATTTAACCCCATTCTTGGGAGCCCTCTCCTCGGCTGCCAACAGGAACAGCTCCCTGCCCTCCTCTAAGGGACACAGACCTTCGAAGACTTCCAGAGAGCCATCCCGTCCCGTCTGCCCCTCAGCCTCCTCTTCTCCAGACTGAACCTCCCCGAGTCCCTCCAGCCTTTCCTCACAGAGCCAGAAACAATCTGCCAGCAGCCAATGGAGTGGCGGACTGACTGGAAAAGATCTTCTTGCCCGTTAAGCACCTGGCTGAAAAAGGACAGTGCCGCCTCAGACGACACACGGGGGTGGCCTTTTTTTCCAACGCCCCTCAACGCGAGAAGCCCTGACCTGGGTGGCCCAGCCTTGCCCAGTCTCGTCAGGTCTCGGAAGCTAGGCAAGGTCTGCCGTGGTCTGTGCTTGGAGGGGAGACTGCCGAGGAAGGCCAGGGTTGCTACGCAGAGGCAGGCGAGGGCAAAACCACCTCTGAACGTCTGGGATGGCCCAGGCTGGCCCAATCAAACATTGGAAGCTAAGCAAGGATGGCTCTGGTCAGTCCTTGGAGGGGAGACCACAGAGGAAGACCAGGGTTGCTGTGCAGAGGCAGGCGATGGCCAACCACCTCTGAATGTCTCTTGGCTTGTGGAGTGGAGGACCGACTGGAAAAAGATCTTCTAGCCCGTTAAGCACCTGGCTGAAAAAGGACCGTGCCGCCTCAGACGACACACGGGGGTGGCATTCTTTTTTCAACGCCCCTCAACGCCAGAAGCCCTGACCTGGGTGGCCCCGCCTAGCCCGGTCTCGTCAGGTCTCGGGAGCTAGGCAGGGCCTGCTGTGGTCTGTGCTTGGATGGAAGACGGCCGAGGAAGTCCAGGGTTGCTACGCAGAGGCAGGCGAGGGCAAACCCACCTATGGATGTCCCTTGCCTTGACAACCCTATAGGGTTGCCGTAAGTCGGCTGCAACCCTTTAATGTTGTGACTGAAACTTCCATCTCGTATTGCCGCCTGTCGAACCCTGCATTGCTATCAACTGACAACTGCGTGGATCCTGGACTGGAGGGACCCAAGTCCGGATCCGGAAGAGGCTTGCTTGCCAGACAGAACAGCAGACACGGGTTGGGGGCAGTGTTCCCTCTAAGCTGAGTTAGTGTGAGTTAGCTCACACAGAGGCAGGCAAGGGCAAACCACCTCTGAATGTCCCTTGCCTTGACAACCCTATAGGGTTGCCGACTCAATGTTCCCTCTAAGCTGTGGAGTCTTGTGAGCAAAAATTCTGCTCTGGGAGCTGCTGGGATTAAAGTTGTGAGCCAGTGATTTGGCTACTGCATTAAATTAGTCTGCTCTGGAGCCCTCCCTCCCTGAGCTGAGACACAAAAGTGTGAGCCGGAGGCTAAGAAACGGTGAGCTGGCTCACACTAACTCAGCTTAGAGGGAACAGTGCTCTGGAGCCACCCTTCCTGAGCTGAGACACAAATGTGTGAGCTGGAGGCTAAGAAACTGTGAGCTGGCTCACACTAACTCAGCTTAGAGGGAACAGTGGTTGCCGTAAATCAGCTGCGAGCCTTTAATGTTGTGACTGAAACCTCCATCTCGTATTGCCACCAATCGAACCCTGCGTTGCTATCACCTGACAACTGCGTGGATCCTGGACTGGAGGGACCCAAGTCCGGATCCGGAAGAGGCTTGCTTGCCAGACAGAACAGCAGACACAGGTTGGGGGACGGGGGGGCGGGGGGGAGAGCACGTCCCCCGTAACCACTCACCAAGGAAGTGGGGGTTTCTGTCCACCACTTCGCTCATCTCGCCGACCAGCTCGATGCTTGTGTAGCGGACAGCCACGTGTACCGTCTCGGGCAGGCGCACCACCCCGTCCAGCACCTCCACCAGCGTCGGATTGTTCTCCCTGAGAGCAGGAGGCAAGCCGGTTAGTCGCCGGGTCAACGAACAGAGCCCCAAGGCCGCGACAAAAGCAGCAATAGTTACTTCCTCGGTTGTTTTACAGCGTTGCCATCACAAAACGCACCACTTAAAACTTTGTTCACGTGTACAATTGCACTCTCGGGCGTACTTATGAAATCTAGTAGTACAGATGCCTTTCAGGGGCCGTCCTAACTGGAGGCATACCCTTTCTGAGCCCGCCGAGGCCAATGGCTTTAAAAGGGCGTAACTCTGCTTAGGGTCAGGATTCGAGTCCAGCGGGACTTTAAAGACCAACAAGATTTGCAGGTGAAGCACAAACCTGTGGCTGCCGTGCTCCCCTTGCCCAATTGGAAACACACAGTCGGAGTCCAACGAGTTAGATGAATATCTGATTCAATGCATTTAAAACAGGGAATACAGGGGCTGAGTGCCTTCGCACTTCAGCCATTCCAAAGCCGTATTCTGCCATAACCAGGAAGGGGCAGAAGGCCTTACACCCCAAATGACTTCACATATAGTTTACACATTAAAGAGGTAAAGGTAAAGGTTCCCTTGCTCGAAACCCAGTCGAGTCCGACTCTAGGGTTGCGGTGCTCATCTCCGTTTCAAAGCCGAAGAGCCAGCGCTGTCCGAAGATGTTTCCGTGGTCATGTGGCCGGCATGACTAGACACCAAGGCGCACGGAACGCTGTGACCTTCCCACCGAAGCGGTACCTATTCATCTACTTGCAATTTCTTGCTTTCGAACTGCTAGGTTGGCAGTTGCTGGAACTAGAGACGGGAGCTCACTCCGTCATGTGGCACACTTGGGTCTTGAAGCCTGCAGTTCAGCGTCTTAACCACTTGAGCCACCGCAGCTCCAGTTTACACATTAAAGAATCTCTAATTTGAGCCCAGCAGGGAACATCACAGAAACATCACTTCACTCAGTGCGTCTCGGTGTCAGTAATTACGCTTCCTTGTCTGGTCTCCCGAACAATGCGAAATGCTGAAGAACACCGGCAGGACCCTTTCTGGCCTTGCTGAAGGTCAGCCTCATGCCTCGCTTCTGGAGAGCTAGCTGATAAGGGCCGTGACTCGCCTTAAGCTTAGCTCTTGGCAGGCTTCCCGGTACCAGATGTTTTGAGAACACTTCCAGAGTTAACCGCCCTTCTTTCACCTGGGCACGAGCTTTCGAGAGACCAGCGGGAGTGGAAGTCCCTGTCTGACGAATGAAGCTTTGACTCCCGGAAGCTCATACCCTGGAAACTCTTGTTGGTCTCTAAGTGGCTATTGGTCTCTTCTACTGCAGACCAACGCAGCTACCCTGTTTAGGACGCCACTCTTAGTTTTATGCAAGGAAAGACTAGGCTCAGGCCCGTAGCCAGGATCTTGTGGCTTGTGGGGCAAGTTTTTTTCTGGTGGGGCTGAAGTTCTCGGTGCAGAAAGAAAAGCCATAGGAAGGAAGGAAGGAAGGAAGGAAGGAAGGAAGGAAGGAAGGAAGAAGTTACCTGGACAGATCTCTAAATTGCAAGCTGTCAACTGCTTTAGAGGACAGTCCTCAGCTGCTGCAAGTTAATCACTGCTGCCAGCATAAGCCACAGTTCTGATAACAAGCCGGCAGGCGGGGAGTGATGACTTCTGTAGTCAAGACAGCTAACGCTTAGGCAGAAAAACTCTCTTCAAGGAGACCAGTTTCTTGACACAGAGCTAGAAGGGATCCTAGAGGTCACCTACTCCAACCCCCTTGCTCAGTGCGGGAACTAGTCAACTACAGCACCCCACTCTGCTTAAAGGAGCTGACACCTTTAAAAAAAGTTTTAAATTGATTGGAAAAAGGCATTTACAGGAGAAATTCTTGTGGGGCGGTGCCTTTAAGAAAGGGGGCAGAGGTCATAGCTACGGGAGAGGGGGAGAGAGAGAGCTGCAAACTGCAGCATCCAATGCCACCTCAGCACAGGCATAATACAGTTTTTGCTATCAGAGAGGTAGGGAGGGGGAAATGAAAGGCGAAAACCGAACACACCATTTTTGCAGTAAAAAAAAGAAGGAACATGCATTATCAGCACAGAAACTGTCATACGCACACAACACGGCTAGCAGGCGGTTTGAAAACGGACCTAAACTTTGTAACGCGGGAAACACTGGAATGCTGGAAGCACTGTGCTCCTCAGCAGCGCATTATCACACACATTAGAGCGCATTATCTGTGGGCAAAATCAGTCACAATTCGAACAATAGATGCACTATTTCATAGCAATGCGTCTAGGGCTCTCTGGAATGACCAGTGTCGCCACTGGGAAAAACTGAAAAGTCTCCAGAAAGAGGGCACAACGATGGCCCAGCGGTGATCAGCCATGGCACGGCCCACAGGGTGGATATGTGCCTCCGGCCTCCCAGGTACTCACTGGTCCACGCTCTTGGCTATCGAAGCCATGATGAAGAGCACCGCTTCCGTCACTTCCCAAGAAGGGTTGCCTTCCTTCAGGGTTGCATAAAGCTGTGGAGAGAAGGAGACGAGAGATGCTGAGCCGAGGAATGGAAGGTGCTCTGAGCAAGGAGAGAGGAGAAAGTGAGGCAGGACGAGCCCTTTCACGTCTCCGGGCAGACTCCAGCTCCGGGGAGTCACACACAGCAAGCAGGGCGTTTGCTTTCAAAGGTTTGGGAGCGCAGAGGCAGCTGAGCCGGAAACAAACGTCTGCGTGGTTAGAGAACGGTGCAGCTTTGCAGCCTCTGATAAGAGCTGTTCTTGAAAAAGAGCAGTTTCTCTCAGGAGCTCTCTCAGCCCCACCTACCTCACAGGGTGTCTGTGGTGGGGAGGGGAATGGAAAGGAGTTTGTGAGCCGCTCTGAGACACCTTCGGGTAGTGAAGGGCGGGGTATAAACCCAGTCTCTTCTTCCTCTTCTTCTAAGACAGGGAGGTCACTGACACAGGTGTGCAAGCAAGGGAAGAAGAAGAAGAAGAGGAGGAGGAGGAGGAGGAGGAGGAGGAGGAGGAGGAAGATGAAGAGGAGAAGAAGGAGAAGGTTGGCTTTCTACCCCGCCCTTCACTACCCGAAGGAGTCTCAGAGCGGCTCACAAACTCCTTTCCCTTCCCCCTCCCCACAACAGACACCCTGTGAGGTAGGCGGGGCTGAGAGAGCTCTGACAGAAACTGCTCTTTTTCAAGGACAGCTCTGACAGAACTTGTGACTGACCCAAGGTCACACCAGCAGCTGCAAGTGGAGGAGAGGGGAATCAAACCCGGTTCTCCCAGATTAGAGTCCGCGCACTTAACCACTACACCAAACTGGCTGGAGGTGCAGGTGGGATGAAGAACGACGGCCGTTCGGGATCTATGCCTGCCCCCAAACCGGAGTAAAGCACTGACTGCATTTCAGGCCATCTGAAACAATGAGAATCACAGGAGACTGGGGGGAAATACCCCCCCCCCATTTTCACGGTCTCCCCACCTGGGCAAAACATTCCACAGAGCCGACGAGGAAGATCAAGTCCTTCACCAGGTCCGATACCCTCATCCGGAACTCTCCGAAGTCGTCCGTCTCCTCGGGAATCCCTTCCTGGAAGAGGAAATTTGGGGGGACGGGACACAAAAGTGGTGTGTGGAATGGGAAGAAATCAAGTTCTAAGCCAAGTCATGCAGAAAGAGACAGGGCAGCCGTTCGCTAATAAATTAAAAAAGCCAGGAAACTGGGTTTTATTCACGGCTTGCCGCAACGGCTCTCTGGGCGCACAGACAAGACCGCGCTCATTTATCCCTCGTGGTTTCATCAAATAAGACACCCTTACGGACCGCTTCTTCTGAAGCTCAAAGCGGTGGTAAGTAAAATAACAATTCCTGGGTCTTCTCTCTTGGATACATGAACCAGACCACTGGTCCATCAAGGTCAGTATTTATTTATTTTATTTATTTTATTTTTGTATTTATATTGTCTACTCAGACTGGCAGCTGCTCTCCAGGGTCTCAGGCAGAGGTCTTTCCCATCACATGCTGCCTGGTCCTTTTTAACTGGAAATGGCAGGGACTGAACCGGGGACCTTCTGCATGCCAGGCAGAGGCTCTGCCGCTGAACCACAGCCCCTCTTTACGGCTCTCCAGGGTCTCAGGCGGAGGCCTTTCCCATCACCTCCTGCCTGGTCCTTTTTAGCTGGAGATGCCGGGGACTGAACCTGGGACCTTCTGCATGCCAGGCAGAGGCTCTGCCACTGAGCCACGGCCCCCCTTTGCAGCTCTCCAGGGTCTCAGGTGGAGGTCTTTCCCATCACCTCCTGCCTGGACCTTTTTCAACTGGAGATGCCAGGGATTGAACCTGGGACCTTCTGCATGCCAAGCAGAGGCTCTGCCACTGAGCCACGGCCCCTCTTTACTGCTCTCCAGGGTCTCAGGAGGAGGTCTTTCCCATCACCTACTGCCCAGTCCTTTTTAACTGGAGATGCTTCCGGGGATTGAACCTGGGACCTTCTGCGTGTCAAGTACAGGCTCTGCCACTGAGCCACAGCCCCTCTTTACAGCTCTCCAGGGTCTCAGGCAGAGGTTTTTCCCATCACCTACTGCCTGATCCTTTTAAACTGGAGATGCCGGGGATTGAACCTGGGACCTTCTGCATGCCACGCAGATGCTCTGCCACTGAGCTATGGCCCTTCCCCCACAAAATCACAGAGGGTACCCTGAGAAAAGCTAGCATCACTACCAAAAGGCCTTTTCATGCCACACAGAAACTTCACAGTGTTGATCTGATTCAGTTACATCAGGAGTGAATCTGTAATTCACCGCTGAGGGAACAAAAAAGCAGCAGAGGGAATGGCTTTATTGCAACACACAGGAAGTTAAAAAAAACCAGGAAGCACAAGACGATTGCTAGGAAGGGAGGGGCCACAGCTCAGTGACACAGCCCACGTCATGGCTTGGCATGCCAAAGATCTCACCGATGCTGGTGCAATTATTGTGGCAGGGTCTCCTTTTTTTATGCGATTTAACAGGACATTTTCCCATCCAAGTAAATAACTCTAGGCCCCTTATGTGAACCAAGGCAGGGTTACCAACTGCAGGCTGGGAAATTCCTAGAGATTTGGGGGGTGGAACCTGAGAAAGGGAGGGTTTGGGGAAGGGGGGAGACCTCAGAGGGGCACAATGCCACAGAATCCACCCTCCAGAGCAGCCGTTTTCTCCAGGGGAACCGGTCTCTGTAATCTGGAGATCAGCGAGGGATGCCAGCCTCCAGGTAGGACGTGGGAATCCCCTGGAATTGCACTTATGGAAGTCAGTTCCCCTGCAGACAAAGGCTGCTTTGGAGGGTGGGCTGCATAGCATTTGCACCCCGCTGGGGCCCCCCCCCCCCCCCCCAGGCTCCATCCCCAAATCTCCAGGAGTTTCCCAACCTGGATCTGGCAACCATACAATCAGCTATAGGCTCCACCTGGAGATTCACACCTCTATCATCATCATTATCAAGGCTCTTTTCGTAGCAGGGACTCCTTTGCATATTAGGCGACACACCCCTAATGGAGCCAATCCTCCAAGAGCTTACAGAGCTCTTCTTACGGGGGGGGGGGGGGGGGGGGGCTACTGTAAGCTCTTGGAGGATTGGCTACATTACGGGTGTGTCACCTAATATGCAAAGGAGTTCCTGCTACAAAAAGAGTCCTGATTTCGTTATCATTATCATAATCATCATCAGGGCTTTTTTTTGTAGAAAAAGGCCAGGAGGAATTCATTAGCATAACAGGCCACACCCAACAGCAGGAACTCATTAGCATATTAGGCCACACCCCTGATAGCACAGTTTATTGGCATATTAGGCCACACACCCCCACGTTACCAGAAGTGTGCTCATCCAGCCACACCCACCTTTTGCTTCTTATTCTGTTTACCTTGTTTGTTGTCCAGACCCAGGGCTTTTTTTGTAGCAGGAACTTCTTTGCATGTTAGGCCACACACCCCTAATGTAGCCAATCCTAATGAGTGTCCGCTGTTAGGTGTGGCCTATTATGCTAATGAGTTCCTGCTGGGTGTGGCCAACTCAGGAGCCAGCCGGAACTCCATTCCTGTGCGTTCCTGCCCAAAAATAGCCCTGATCACCATCAATGATGACGGACGACGACATGATTTCTAAACTGCCCTCCCCCTGAAGGGCTCAGGGCGGTGTAGAAGACGAGAGAAGAAGAAGAAAAGGAGAATGGATTTATACCCCACCCTTCACTACCCGGAGGAGTCTCAGAGCGGCTCACAAACTCCTTTCGTGAACAAGTTAAAAAGCAGTGGACCAAGTACTGATCCCTGCAGTACC